TGAGTTCGGGTAGAGTAACTTGTCTTCCTGCTGGCTATTATGCTTACCTTGTGAACTAGCACGTTAAATAAACCGACCCAGTCACTGGCCCAGTGTGTCGGTCTTGTATCAAACTGGGTATATTCAAATCTCATATACCACCTTCTCGTCCTATAGATGCATGTAACCTACCACATTAAAAAAAATCCCGTTTATCTAAAAAAAAAACAAAAAAAACAGTTATTGATATCAGTTCAAAAATGTGCCCAGAGAAATTCAAAGGTAACTGTCAAAAATGTATGTCCACGACATTCAACAACTGGAAAATAAATTCCTTAGTCTTGACTTTGTAAAGAAATAAAAGATAAACAATAATGAAAGCAAACTAAAAATAAACTAAATTCAAGTTTAACTCAAGTTTGAGAACTAAATATGTATATGAGACATATAGCATAAATGGATTTATATTATGAATATATTATCTTATGGATAAACTATTCATCAAATGCATATTTAGTAAGAAATTATGATTTACACGCACCTTTCTAAAATAATACAATATTTAAAGAATTGGCGCGCTTTGTGCATTTCAAAGAAGCATGGACAATGACGTTACGTCATAGTAAATTTCATAGTATCAGAGTAATAAAACAATGGCCGAAAAGTGGCCCCGTGACACTGAATGTAGTAAGTAAAAAATGACCCAAAAGTGGCCCATGGCACAGAGATGGTTAAGTATATTTGTTTATTTCTTTTTATGGAAGTTTACTAAATTCAGATCGATTTTTTTAAACCGCACAACAACTATTATGACTTATATGACCGTTACTCATTGTTGGAGTTAGTATGGAGGGTGACCTGTTAATGTTCTTCTGTTTTCTAGATACACCACATATCATCTTTAAATACAAATCTTCAGTTGTGGTAGTTATTCGCTTTTCGGATGCTCTTGTAGACGACACGCGCGTCGGGCGTACAAAATTATACGCAAGATGACTTTTTTTCAAGTGTAACTACACATCAACCATTGTCAACTCTTTGCGAGTCTTATTTGACCTATTACAAGGCGGGGAAATGTTTAATATGTTATTGGCGACAGTTCAATGGAAAACGCAAGCGGACTTTGTAGGCCCATTGTATTGGAATATCACAAAGTTCATCAATCTATCAAATGACATCCTTCAGATGGCATTTGCTTTAGGTAGTATCTGGACAAAAAATACAAAAGTTGCCAAAGTTCATTTTTAGATCTTTTTATAATGTTTAGAATATATTTTTACAGTTATGAAGTTAAAGCATGTGTCTATTCTTGATGAAAAATTCTTTTATGTGAACTACCTAATTTTTCTCTTCCGTTTTATGCTTGTAGAAATTGATTTGCAGTCCATGCGAAGTATTTGCTTTATTCAAACAGTATTCCCTTTTAAATTGTCTAACACATATACCAATGTGTCCCTTGTTTCGTTAATTTGTTATTGTTGTTTCTACATCTAAGATTAGAATGTCAGTCAAATTATGACGGAATTTGTAAGATTTTATTTTACTGTTACAACAGAAAAGAATATATAGAGGTCGTCTTCGATTTGTAGAGAGAGTGTAAGTTTTTGCTTCACGTTGAAGGCCTTGCTGTGAGTGAATTAAATACGAAAAACAGCAATACAAGCACTGTATATTGTATCAAGTGAGTTTAGTCAAACGGGATTTTGTGTAAAGAAATAATACACCAAATTCCTTTTTTTTCCCACTTAACTTCATAACTCCATTCATGTTCCTATCTACAAATTTTAAACAACACTATTCTGAAAAGAAATTATGAATTTGATAAATTTCGTGGGGCAAATAATCAAATAAAACAAACAAATAGCTTGTGACAAAATGTATCATTAGATCTATAGGCTTGTTGTATAAGTCAAAACTCCTCTGAAACTATAAAATTACAAAAGGTTCGTGACATTATACTCTACACTCCTTTAAATGTCAATTTTTTTTACTATATATGATTGTCACAGTCATGAACATTGAATATGCCTTAACACTGACTTAGAAATTTGCAATTTAAAATATTTTATATAATACTATCGTAGTTAATAAATTACACATTTTAAAGAAAACCTATTTGATACTATAACGGTTCATTACATCTCAGTTTGATACGATATTCTATTTGAAAAAAAATACCCCAAACAATCTTTTAAAACACATAACCAACTGAGTTATCCCTACCGGAACGAAATGAATTTCACTGATGTTTTATACACATGTATCGCTTTTATTCGATTAAGTTCGTACATCAATAAATTTGTAGAAAATTCTTTGTCAAGTTGTATGTTTATACATTGACAGTATAATTTGAGTTTAAGTATCGACATGGTCACTGGAGTTAACACAATTTATGATCAAAAGATTGAATTTGTTTCAGTTATTTTCATTTAGATTCTTGACCCTATAGGTAACAATTTCATGGACCAATATTCAATTCCAAAACAAGTGAAATATATAAATAGTGGGGTTTGAATTGAGGGTGGGGGAGTTTGATATCCATAAGAATGGATTCGTTGTAAATGAATATATTTCACACCGGTGTGGGTCAATAGAGGTTGCCCTGATTTTACGACGTTATATAGATTGTATTGCAGTCAATTCTCATTCAATTCAAATCACAAAAGGTTAATATGAAAAAATAGCGAACATATTCAAAAATTTAAAGAAAAGTTCTCTGCTTTTTGTTGCTTAACGTCCAGTGGTTAATTGTTCATGCTAATTCAAGACGAGCTTTATGTGTAGTTCGCTGTTTGTAATTCAACATGCCCCACGAGCAGCTGAAGTATAGAAGTATGGCACTTAGATTTTTTATGAATATCGGCATTTTGCTATGCAGGATGTATAAATATGCAATTATTTGGGAAAAGAAAATCAAAACACTATTGGGGGGAAATAAAACTAACAGGTTTGGTACAATAAAGTTAACCAGAGTCGACTACGTTACTATTAGAGGGGTCAGTGGTGAATTGTAAGAATTATATTTCAAAAGAATAAGTTCTTGCTTTTTCGGTACTATATAACGTCACAGTACCCAAATTGCACCGAGTACCCAAATTGAACCCATTTTAAAGCAAATATAGCAGTAGAAATCTTGCAAGTTTTTTTAGAGACTATTAACGTTATGCAAGTCTTCCAACATAGCTAAATATATCTAAATATACACAAAACGTTCACAGTATATATCAACAGATGAAGTATCCACTGGAAAAATCAAAATATACGGAAACGTCGCCATGCGACGTCCACAAAAAGTCAACATTTAAAAAATGAGCAGTTAAAATATGTTACAGGCATCCATTTCTTAAAAAATGAATATTAAGCATGGACTACTGTCAAATTGTTCAGAATATTTGGAGAATGAAACAAAATATCAGGTATTCGATTTTTACGGATGTGAATTTAAATATGGATGCAATTTGGGTACTCCTCATTACAGAATCATGGATCGTTTAGAGGTCGTTTCAAACCCCCTTTTTCTTTGATTGAATATGGATTCAAAATTAAATTGGTGGAACTATATTGTAAATAGGGATACATTTACAAAATAAACACAGAATGGAAACTTGTCTTGATCATAAATAAACGTAGGTGAAAAAACCCTGTCAAAATAGGTGCAATTTGGGTACCTTCACGTTAGTGACATTCAAAAGTGTTCTCCCATTTCCCATGTTCATTTAAATTTTACATTCTTTCAATTATTACGTATTTTTCTTCTTTTCTTGTCCTGATTATGCATGAAATATTTGCCACTAAACGTTAGAAATACTATGTGAGATCATTATGGCATATACATTTGTTATTTCGAGGCCCTTTATAGCTTGCTTCGCGGTATAAGTTTTGCTCATTGTGGAAGGCCGTATGGTGAAGGCTGTAGTTGCTAACTGCTACGCCACTTAGTCTCTGTTGGAGAGTTGTCTCTTTAACAATCATACCACATCATATTTTTATAAGAGTACAGACTGGTAGGATTGATGACAGAATAATGTATTCTTGGTAAGGTTCTTCTGTGAACTGTTAACTTGTAGCATTGCAATTTAAAATTCCCATACTCGTTTGAGTCTAGAACAAACAGTGCTATATTTCTATGATATTAGCATGTTACCGTCCTGAAAATACATGTAATATTTACCGATGGACGTTAAACATGTTCTTTAATGAATTTCTGCTTATACTTTATTGATAAAACAAAGCTATTTTTCCGTGAATTATAAATAAAAATCCGTCCTCGGCTGAAGTATGGCTTTTAAAAGTCGGGAAAATATACCGGTTACAATATAAAATTGGAATCAGACTAAAATATTTGAGATACAAAAATTTATAAGTCTCTGATTTTGTTACAAGTTTTTTTAATTCCTGTGATTCTTAATGTGAAGAACACTTTTCATATGCATGTTCCTGAGGGCTATTCCTGGCGACTGATACTTGTCTTCAATTATTGCTATATTTCATTTAGATATGACAGAATATTTTCGCTGAGCTTTTCCGTTCTTGCGAAATTTGTGAATGTTCATGATATCGAATAAAAGAGATGTTATCTCATTTTCAATAAGTAAACAACACATCTATAGATTTACCTTGCATTTGTATTCATGTGTATGGTATTAGAAGTTGCAATTGATAATTTGTTTGGTTCGATAATTAAATCATCCAGTTTGAAATGTAATTTGAATAACAATTCGACATATAAATGTATAGGCTTATAAATTGTTACTCGTGTTTCAATCTTACATAATGTATTATTTGAAAGCAAAATCGATGTATGTGTTTTAAATCGCCTTTTGTCTATATAATTCTTCTAGAATTCAGATTGGATAATCGGAAAATAGGATTAAAGTGTTCATAAAAGGACTGGACAATTATCAATATTTTATTGAATAGAGTCCGATTAATTACATCACGTGACTATTCTTGCACGACAACGGTGTATTAGGTATATTTTACCTTTTAATTAACATATGAATACACGTTCAATTCACATTGTATTTTAATTCGTACACTAAGACAGTTAAAGGGATATACTAGTTTAACGGCCGTTATTTTATCCGTGTGTCAGCTAACATAGCAACGGCGGAAGTCTATTGAGAAGCTTATTCAGGTGTACATATTGACTGTGTGAAAACAAAACGGTGAGAAGTTTGAAGCTTATAACTAACTGTTATTTTATATACATTTGTTTATTTTTACATTATTTGTTGCTAATTCATCATGAATGAAGAAAAAGATAAAACAAAAGGAGAGCAACAAAAGAAAAAGGAAAGACCGACTAAAGGTAGACACAATAAGATCTACCGCACTCCACCAACCCCAGAACCTGAAGAACTGCTTTCAAAAGAGCGAACTTTTGTCTTAGACAGCAATGCATGCAGCAGTATTTCTACTGACTATTCCAAAACGAACCCAAAGCTGGGCCCTGTGATACCACCTTATAATTCACAGAAGGATATACATTCACGGAATTATTACGAGTTTGAAGGAGTACCTAAAACTCTCAAGAAGACAGAACAGGTAAGAAGATGGTTCTCTGTTACTGGTAGATCCTTGTTTACGTTAAAATGAGTCTGTTTATATATGGAATTCTATCCTTAATCACGATTTATACAGATATGTTTAACTTGTTAAAAATAATTTTTTGGTAAAATCAAATTTGAAATATGACAAACAGAAAGTATTGCTTTCCTTTTATGACGAAGGGAACAATCTGCGCGAATTTCATGTCGCACTAGAAAGGAGATGTTACGTGCACCGGTATTTTACACAATGTCATATTTCTAGTTCTATTCAATATTCCCCCTTTTTCAGTGATGGTCCAAATTATCAAAATAACTTTCGTGTAGTTTTAACCATTTCAGACACCACTAGATAATATGATATCAAAATGTTATTTTGGGTGCTAGTAATATGAATGAAACATTTGCCACTGGCTATGAAACATACAACCGATGAGGAAAAATTGTTACGAGAAAAAAAAGGTCTAATGGATCATCTCTATAAAAATTTTGACATAATGGCATGCAACATAAGGTAAAGTTAAGATTATTTTTGACATATGTTCTTTCATGAATCGGACCCCTTGCCTTTCTGTCGATACCAATATTTTGGCATTGCACAGGTCATGTTTTTCTCTGACTGTTAATGACGTCTTTTACTAAATCCATTGGATGTTGGATGTGTACTGATTGATATTTTAGTCTTAGATAAATGATTTTTTATTAATTGTTATTGGCTTTGAACTAGCTGTCAGTAACTGCGAGAACTCTCAGGTCTGTACTTGGTGTCTTTTTTGTTGTTAGGGATGAGGGATAGATATATACCCTGCCACGTCTTGTCTGTGTTTTTGTTTGATGTTTTTCTTTGTATTGATCTGATGAGTTAAGCCTTTTTCTACTGATTTTTATAGTTTGTTCTTTTGTTGTATGTCTGTCATATTTGTTTTTCGTAAATTATTTTGTTATAGATTAGGCTGTTAGTTTTCTATATTGAACTGTTTCATATTTTTCATGTGGGGGCCTTTTCTTATTGTTGAAGGTCGTACAGTTATCTATAACTGCTTACATCCACATTTTAACTTAGGTGGATAGTTGTCTCATTGGCAATCATACCACATCTCCTTATTTTTATATTTATAATCTGAAAACGTAATTTTTGAAACTTTACACAACGTTATGACACATCACATAGAGATGACGGAATACATGGAATAGACATTTATGGTTTAAGTGCTATGCCCTCTCTCTTCAATATATATATAAAAAAAAATGGTTTCTTTCCGAATGGTTATTTAATGTACTGTTTCAGCAGATCTATACTTATTGAAATGGTTTGCAGTACAATGGATAATGATACAGGTCTGTACTCTTTTGGGCTGATTTATTATAATTGACATTCAACATTCAAGAATTGTCCCCTGTATTATCTGGGTACTTCTATAAACTCTTACAGTAGCTACATGTAGGATATGTATCATTACTAGATCTTCTTATTCTAATTATTGATACATAAATTGGGAAGAGTGTGGTACTCTAAATCCTCACTGTAATCATGTACAATGTTCGGTTAGTTGGAAGGAATTGGAGCAAGAAATCAAAAACTTGATTGATGTATATATACTCCATGAAAGCAAGAACGTTTCCTGCGCTTTTTAAACCATTTTACAATACTTGCCATTTTTGATTCAAGTTAAATATGAATTTATTTGAGTATTGATCTTCTGATTGAGATTACAATATAAACTATTTGGCTTGAGTTTACAATATAAACTATATGAAAGATAAGAAATATCTAGTCTTGTTTGTTCAACACAATATATATGTTGCTTACTCACTTCAATTAAACCCAGGTTTTATTTGCTTTTTGATAAATTCAATCAATGAAGTTTTATTTAACGAATAATTTGAACAAACAGTACATCTAAATTGAATACCCGAACATAACATGCCAAACAAAACACATACCGGGATAAAATTGTCAATATATCTTTAAATTAAAATTCTTTCACGTGACTGAGCAGGTTTAATTTATATATGTTTTATCGCGCTATCATCAGCACGACATTTTAATTTTATCATTTAGTTGAGCATTTTATTGAGGGATTCGGAACAGTTTAATTGATTATTTTTGCTGATACAACTTTGAAGCATAGGTTATTTTTATTAACATATCTTACCTTACACAGCAACATATTACTTTTTTCGCATATGGGGTTACTGAGCAAAGCTTACGTATTGTTTGATCCCAACGTCCAGTGGCTAATATTTCATGCATATTTAGAACATAATTATTTAGGAATATGTAAATTGAAAATGATCAATCGACTTGAGACAATTTCTGGAGTAGTATAGTAATAGGTGCAGTTTTTTATGGAACTTATTAGTGTCCGATTCACTGGACTTAAGGACGGTCATAGGGAAGGGATGTACTCGTTCTTTGGTCTCTGATGGATAGTTATCTCATTGACAATCATACCACATCTTCTGATTTTTATGTTGTTTTTTTTTATTTCTAAGTTTTTACTCAATTACATCCTGCATTTTGTCAATGTTTGAGAGTTAGAATATTCATTTTAATCCTGTTTTTTTTATGTTCTGTTCTTACCATGGCCAATACATTTTAAAATCATCCTCCTCAAAATTCAAATAGTCGGCCCTCATGACACATTTTTTTATCTATTGTTGTGTCTATATGGTGTATTACTGTTAGACATTTGTCTACCGCTTAAATCCTATCATGTTGACAGCTTTGTCAATAAACATGTGTAACATTTAAATAGAAACTAACATAAGAGGGTGCTAGGTTTTCCAACTATTTATTTATTAAAACTGTATTTAAACACGTACATTTTAATATGTAATAAATCTTTGCGTGATACTGTAAATAATAAGCCGTCATTCAAGTTTAGTGCATTATCAATATTAGAACTTTGGAACTAAGTTAAAATATACCCCCCTGGTCTTGTGAACATATTTAAATGTGTGGGTAACACATTGTCAAAAAAGTATTCAGGTAGAAATGACGACATTAAGATACTCATATAATCTTGTATTAGTTTGTATAATTTCAATATCATCATGCATATAAAGCATGTGTTGTTGGGTAGTTATCTCATTTGGTTTCATCCCGCATTTCCTTATTTTTAGAATGCAACGGTTGACTGAGGTATATAGATATGTTTACTTTTATAAATTGTAACTTGGATGGAGAGTTGTCTCATTGGCACTCATACCACATCTTCCTATATCTATGAGTATACAAGCAAGTCTAGATTGAAAACAACGTCCAAACCTATGATTGCGTTGGATAAAAACCACAATTTTTATACGTGTGCATGCAAAACAAATTTCTTGATAGAGGGGTCTAAATACAGCACAAACAACATTTTCCAAAAGACCAAAAAAGTGAAAAAGTATATTTTAACAAAACGCATTTGACTGACAGGTCGAACAACACATGTTCTTAAACCCTGCTGACTGCCATTGGCGATGTAATAAATGGATCTTAATTATGAATTTAATACTAGTTTAGAAAACAATAAACTTGCGGAAAAGATGGTATACCGCAAACAAAAAGGTGCAAAGGTTTTTGTACACCATATCCGGATTTCGACAATTAATATCTCTTCAGTGATGTTAGGAATCGAAACGGTATTTGGAAAGCCTTACAATTTACCTCAATTTAGGATAGCCTCTTGAATTTACAAGTATACCCTTGGTATTTTTTTCGACCGGCATTGAGGGATGTATAAATTCGTAGCCATGTCCGCTCAGAATGGTGACGTTAAATCTGATACCCCGTGTAGAGAGAGTGCCACACTACCTGCACGTTGAAGAACCCTTGCAAGGTTGCCTGTTGCAAGGCTTAATTTCTGTCCGTATCCAACATACCCCCACTTTCCAGTGCATATCAAATGTCTTGCTCTCCATGTAGGTCGACCCCTATTATAGGACCTACATTTTTTATTGTTTAAAATTTGTTTTCGTCGTGAAAATGCATAAAGTATTTTGTGACTGGGCGTTAAGCAAATAAAATTCAATCCTTATATTTACATATGTACCTCACTAATTGATCGGGACCCGTTGATAAGTATGGTCACCTGGCCTTCTCCCATCTGACAGAAAAGTTCATGCCAATGTATGTTTGTTTTGCCTTGCAGGATGTATAAATACACATCCACGTCCGGTCGGAATGGGCACGTCAAATCCGATGGCTCATGTAAAGAGAGAGTGTCATGCTTTTTGCATGTTAAAGAATACTCGCCAGAACTATTTTAGGATCCGTCGGTGACCTGTTGCAAGGCAAAATTTCTGTCTCTATCTAACATACCCTTGTCTTCCAGTGGCAGTGGAAATTTATCGCTCTTCATCCGAGTTAACTCACTTTGCAGAAGTTACATTCTGGATTTATTGTTACTTTGTATTCTCGTCCTAAATATGCATGAAATAATTGCCACAGAACTGAATAAAATAATCAATATAATTGTTCGGTTTTTATGTTCAAATATACATATTTTTTTTTAATAACAAACGCAGATGAGAGGTTTTGTCGGTTTGAACTTGCACACAGTTTTATGTTATGATGGAAATGCAACTTAAACCGTTGCACTGGGTTAAAATGAACTTGCACACAGTTTTATGTTATGATGGAAATGCAACTTTAACCGTTTCACCGCGTAACTCAGCTGTTGCAAAGTTCACTCGATCAAAACTTACCAGAGTTTTATATAAATCTCATTTTCTTGCGTCATCAATAGTGACACTAATTAAGTATTTTACGTAAATTGAAAATCAATAAATATGTAATTGCTATTTTATACAACGTTTTCATTTCATTGTATTTTATTGATAATAACTAGTCTTCTCGTCTATTCATCCATTACTTCATATGTAATAAATTGATCAAAAATGGAAGGTCTCATTTAAAAGGCAAATGACATAAATAATACTTTTGACATCATTTGAAATGAAAAGTATCATATTTCATAATTCATTTTAAAAGTGCAATTTCTATATGAAATTAGAAATAGTTTTTTATTTAAATGCCGAACAAGTCACACATGATAAGTAACCATCGCTGGATCGATGTTGGTGGAACGTCGGTCCCGAGGGTAACATCACTAGTTGTTACCTTAGAAACTTTGATGTTTTGGTTAGCAATTTTTCATATTTTTTTATGTTTTCTGTAGTTATCTGTCTTCATTTTGTTTCTAGACTACTTCTGATTATCGGTGTTTATATTTCTAGTTTGAAAATGGAGGAACGTCTATAGATGGACCTGTTTTAGATTATTTTCACGAACAAGGCACAGGGTACCAATATTTGTCATTAAGGAACCAGTTTGGTGCAGGTAAGTACAAATCCAGTGATTGTTGAGAATACATTACTAGCAGACTAATTTGTTCATTTAAAAGAATGTTTATTCTGTCAAAAAAAACAAACTATACGTCAATTTGAGACTCAAATAAGAAACCTAGAGGTCAACGTCAAAAACAGGCAGGTCCCAATCGTTATTTTAGTACAAAATTTAGTGAAATTATTTTAAATTTTGACAGCAACATACATTCTACAGTTTTTTATATTATAATAATAATAATAATTCTTTATTGTCATATAAGCATAACATTATACTTGTGACAAAAACAAATAATAACAACAACAAAAAAATAAACTGATTTGTATGCACATATATATATATATACATACAAGGAAAAATAACTAAGAATCGTCTGTCCTCAGCTTTAAAGACTGTTTTATAAAGAAACTTGTTTTTTTTCACTTAGTTTATATTTGAAGGATTTAGCAGGACTACTATTAATGAATAAATAAAACGAGATGTAGGGTAACGTAAATGATACAGCAATCCAACAAGTACAAAAACAAACAGAAAACACATGTAGAGATCAACTATAAATAGACGTCTGGACCATATGCCAAGCATTTTATATTGTCCACGACAGCCATTTGACGTTTTTATAGTCTGGGACATCTGTTTCATGTTTTAAACACAATATGACGCGCAAACATCTCGTAGTTAACTTATTCTTTTGGTACCGTACGTAGTATTAATGACACATTTTTTGTAACCACAGGGCATTCTTCCGAATTGACAGATGGACATTCACAGTTCATGCAAGGGATAAAACCAGTTATAGGATACAACGGTAAATATGGGTACAGAAGAAATTCACCATGGTTACGAATGGAGCCGTCCCCTTTCGGAACTGCTAGTCGTTCACCTTCTCACTGAAAAACAGGAAAAGTTACTCAAAAGTACTGTGATATCTTGCTCAAAAGTTATATACATATAAAGACATTGTTTTCTCTGTTTGCTTCATAGTATTCATACCTGACGCTTTACTTTCTTATAACTTGTCTCTTGAATGTTAGCGTTAATAGCAAAAGATACAGAGAGACTTTAAAATTAGTATTCAAAAAGTATTATGTGTTTTTTAAATCTTGTTTATACTAAAAATAATATATTTTATACTATATCTTGTATGTAATTTCAATACAACTGTAATTAAATTGTTCAGCAGAAGTTGAATGTTTGATGTTGTCAAATACAAGTCGACTGTAAGTTTATATAAGTGTGTCATCAATCGAGTTCATTTTCTAATTTGAGAAAAAAAAATATCACAAAAACACTTCTAACTTCGTTGTGTGAGGTTGTTATTACACTTTATTACAAATTATGGGCCCACAGGGAGCATAAAACATACATATTGAAGAAAAAAAGAATATTGATTAGCATAGACAAATACCATAAAATTACACAACTACTATATATGAAATGTTTAATTGATCTATTATATCGTTCTATATTATTCAACTAATACCTTGATGCTTTCGCTTAGCATTAAGTTAAAAAATGAAATGTCTACAGACATATGTTTACGTAGTATAATCCAATTAACTCTTTATATTCTTTTCCATTGGGCTGTTTATTGTAATCAGTTGGCGTCCCCCAAGACTATCTTTAATTTCCAAAAATCTCTGAAAACATTTTGACAGATGAACCGTTTACCATTAGTATTGCAGACGTTAAATAAACACATGGCTTAACAGAAAAAACTTAACAACTAATAAAAAAGCATGTATCTAAGACTAGAATATCAATCAGTACACATCCAATATCCAATGGATGTAGGATAAAGACGTCATTAACAGACAGAGAAAAACATGACATTGTGCAATGCCAAAATATAGGTATCGACAGAGTGTAGTACCGTGAAAGTACATATAGTAATAGTGTTATATTTCGTATGGTTTTAATTTACTGATAGCAAAATCAATATTTATACCAATAAAAACAATATTCAAAGATTTAATTACAGTGTTGAATTGGTAACCTTTTAGAATAAGTTTATTTAAAGGATTGCTAAGTTTACCCGAATCGTATCTAAATTCCGGGTTCGGTTAACAACATCTCCGTAAAATTTAGGACGTGCTATCCCGTCTGTAATACGTTTTCTACAGGTAAAACCAAACTTGCAAACCAAATCTTTGTATCTATGAAGGAATTTAGTTAAGGGTTTTAAGTTATTTGTGGTAACGAAATCCCTGACTTGATAATTTACTAATAATACATAGATTACGCTCATTGAAATCCAAAACGTCACTACAGACACCGGCAAAGCGAACGAGTTGGGATATATAAACACCGTGAGACGATGCCAAAGGAACAGCACCGTCCAAAAAAAGGAAAATTAACAATAGGGAAAGAAAAATCATCCCTTTTGTTGTAAATATTTGTGTAGAGTTTCTGGTGTAACACTGAAATATCTAAATCTAGGAAAGGACAGTTATTGCTGTTAATATTTGATTAGTAAGTTTCCTTTGGGTAAATTTCAGCAGTATATTTAGAGAATTCCTGATTATTCAACGAAAAAATATCATCAAGATAACAGTAAGTGTTGTTGAATTTATCAATTAAATGGAATTTAGACGGTCCTTTACTAGTCATAAACTGTGATTCATAACAGTATAGGAACAAGTCTGCTATTTAATGAGCACAATTGGTGCCCAAAGGAATACCAACAACCTGTCGATAAACCTTATTTTCGAAACGTACATAAATTTTGTCACGGAGAAAATTTACGGTCCAAGTTGACTTGTGTATAAAAATATGGTTGAAAGGACTTTTCACATACCGTATGATTCCTAGTGAGGTGGGAGGGATCGGTTTAGCTGTGCCAGATGTATAAATACGCAGTCAGGTCTGATCGAAATGGAATCATTACATCTAATGCTTTGTGTTGGGAGGGGCCACTCGTTCTACTAGTTAAAGAATCCTTGCAACAACTTTTAAAGGGTCAGCAGATGGTCTGTTGCAATGCAAAACTAATTCTTCTTCCCAACATACGCTCTTTTTCAGTGGAAGTAATATTCCCATCTTCTACCCCGATCAATTTAATTTCCGAAACTGCTTATATGCTTCATAAATTTGTCTAAAAGTGCATCAGCTATTTGTCACTGGACGTTAAGCATGCAATCATCAATCAATTGCCATTTCATACCTGTTATAGCACATAGTGACATCCTTGCTAAATTGTTCAAAATTTTGTAATCAATAACTTTTTTCTAATTTTACTAGGAAGACCCTTTTATATGATATAGCGGTCATATAGTTCGGGCAAGAAACACTGAACATTCTCTAATTTAAACCTCTTTCATTATGCTAATAGCAGCGTGTCTGACCCTGCAATCAACCAACGTTCTATGGAGACAGCCGAGCTTATTCAGAAACGAATACAGTATTCCTTCTGTCAACAAATATGGCCACCATCGTACTACGATTTCTGCAAAATTAAAGATACTAATACATCGCTAGATTTGAAAGTAGATCATCGAAGTCAGTTGAAAAAAAAACAATCGTCCAGGTACAAACAGAGAAACAAAAACATGAAAATTTATGAAATTTACAAATGAAGAAATATAGTAAAACAATGGCTTCAGAAATGCTGTGAATAACTGCACTCTACTAGGGCAACAAGACAGGCGACACATGTGAAGCAGGATCTGCTTAACCTTTCAGAGCACCTGAGATTAACCCCAGTTTTTGGTGGGGTTAGTATTTCTCAGTCTTTAGTTTTCTATGTTGTGTTTTGTAGACTTGTTTGTCTTCTGGTCGTTTTTCGTTTTTTTTGCCATGGCATTGTCATTTCATTTTTGACTTGGTATCTTCCGTCTTTCTTTTCCAACTCCCTCATGCGAAGACCTTAGATGAATTTGAGTATTCTTCTTATGTCCGTTTTTGTCTTTTAGGTCTTCGAGCATTATGCATCTTTGGCTTTCAATTTTGGATTTGAGCGTTCCTTGTGAAAGTTAACTGAGAAAAGCGACTTGGGCACACAACATTTATAAAATGATTTGCAGTAATTATAATTTTGCGACAATAGCTTGTCTACACTCTACACTACTCTACCGTATTCGCAATTGTAAGGTCGTCTACATCTTTTACAAGAATGTCAAACGAAGATAACGAATATATGCACATATATAAAGTTGAGAACAAAATGATTTTAGTTTAAAAAGAGAAACACGCTGATTTCAATTACAATACACCGAAGTAGAAATTGAAAAAAACATGTTGGACTTTTTGATTGACAACACATGCATTTAGATGGACTGATATTCAGAGAAAATGAAAATACACTTAACTCTATGATACCGGTATAAAAGAAAACAAAAAGACAAATTTGTGGGGTTCGTGCTGCCCAGTCTTATTGTGTTTTATATAGAGTTTTGTGGACTGTTGTTTGTCTTTTCGTCGTTTTTCGTTTTTTTTGTGCCATGACTTTGTCCGTCTCTCTTCGTTGATTCTCCCCTTGGTATCGTCCGGCTCTTTTTTTCAAACACAATAACTATACAGTACAGAGGAATAGTCGCAATTACTGGAAGCAAGTTAAAGTATTTAACCAGTAGTACCGAAATTAACCGATTGCGACATTTTGACCGATTGCGGATTCGTGCATGACTGTGGGCGTCCATATTGGGACAGTACCGACCATAGCCTTGTTCTGAATTCAATAGCGGGTTTTATGAATATTCATTGAAAAGGAAATATGTCAAAATAATCAATACTCTTACATGTAACATATTTCAGGATTATATAAGAAGGCGTACTAAATTCTTCCATAGATACAAAGATTTGGTTTGGAAGTTTGACTGTACCTGTAGAAAACTTATTACAAACGGGATAGCATATCCTAATTTTTAAGGTGATGTTGTTTACCGAAACCGTAAATTTAAATACGATCCGGTTAAACTTATCGATCTTTTAAATAAACTTATTCTAAAAGGTTACCAATTCAACACTGTAATTAGACCTTTAAATATCGTTTTAATAGGTGTCAATATTGATTTTGTTATCAGTAAATCAAAACCAAGCTAAATATTCTTGTTAAACACATATGTGCATTTAGTATTCTACAATCTTTCGATACCTATAAGATATTATTTTGACATTGCACATCTATGTCTTTCTCTTACTGCCAGTAATGACGTCTTTACACTAAATCCATTGGATGTTGGACGTACGCTGATTGATAGTTTAGTCTTAGACACATGATTTTTATTAGTTGTTGTTGGCTTTGAACTTGCGTTTAGTAACTGCTTGTACTCTCAGATCTGTACTTTGTGTCTTTTGTGTTTTTGTTACGGTTTTAATGTGCTTTGTATCCATGTGATGAGTTAAGACCTTTCCAACTGAATTTTAAAGTTTGTTCTTATGTTGTATTATTACACCACTGTCTCAGCAAACATGTTTAACCCCGCCTATTATGTATGTACCTGTCCCAAGTCAGGCGCCTGTTATTCGTTGGTTGTCGTTTGTTGCTGTAAATCATATATGTTTTTCGTTTATTGTTTTGTACATAAATTAGGCCGTTAGTTTTCTCGTTCGAATTGTTTTACATTTGTGGTTTCGGGACCTTTTATAGCTTTCTATGCGGTATGGGTTTTGTTCAATGTTGAAGGCCATACGGTGACCTATAGTTGTTAATTTCTATGTCATTTGGTCTTTGGTGGAGTGTTGTCTAATTGGCAATCATACCACATCTTATTATTTTTCTTTTCATATGGCCACTGGAATTCCAAAAATAGCGAATCTTTAATCTTTAATCTTTTCGAACTATTATATTGTTTATAATTATAATATAGACACTTTAGAAAAAATATGGTGTCTTTGCAACGTCATAAGTATGTAGAAATTGGCATATTTGACCTGTTTCCATTTGACACAAAACAATAGCAAAATAAGATATAAGACAACGGCTCACCCAAATAGATGTCTTAACGACATTAACAACGTTTGTATATATGACTTTGTGTGCCTTTGATTAAGACCTTGGCTAACATCTAAATGTTAATTAAAAGGTCTCAAAACGAGGCTTGTTTTTGAAGTTTGGCAGTGCAAGCATGAAGTTTGAAGCTCTGAACAAATGAGTAAAAAAATATCCTAAAAATATAAAAATAAAGGATATATGGTATGTTTATCAATGAGACAATTATCCAGAAAATAGCTAAATGTAAGCTACA